CTCGGTGGTGCTTGCCATGACTGGGGATCGGGAAACAAGGTCGCAGTGGATCCACTCTTTGCAGTGCAAGATCAGGAGGAAAACGTGGTGGTCCAGGAGGATCCTCTGTCCACGCGCAGCCAACTCTCCTCCATCGTCGTGACTCATTCTTCTCGACTGCTCATTTCGAATCGGACCAGCAGGCGAGAATATGGCCGCAAACGAGCTCCAGTGCCCCTATCAAAGGCAGACAAGGACTTTTGACACCGTGTTTGATCCTGGAGATGGCAAAGAAGCGGCTTTGCATCTCCATGATTTTATGCATCTGCTTCCGCTGTGGAGATGGAGAAGCAGATGCAGTTAAGAGATGGAGCCCCGCATCAAACCTTTTTAACACAGGTTAGTCTCTTCTAGGTCATGACCGGGCCATTTCTCTTGGCAGCTCCCGGGCATGGTTCTCCGACGAGTGGACGAGCCGAGGTACGAGCCTTTTCGTTTCTTGGGTTAGATTTCCACAGGGATTTCCACCTGTGAGACATGGAACCTTGACGCGAAAGTCTATTTGTATAGATGCTACTCTTGAATTTGCAGGCAGCACAAGAAACAAATTGAAATGAAAACGATTTTTTAAAATTACCTCTCTTTTCCCAGCAAATGAAGCTGTACACTAATGGATTTGTATCACTGTAAGAGAGGCCTTTAATTCTGTTCAAATTGCAGACTTTCCATACACTCCAGATTACGTTTGTGTCCACGAAAATCTTTTCCATACCTCATCCACAGGAAAAGATCGCCAATTCCAGTAACTTGGGCTTTGAGCCCTTGACTGCCTTCGAGGAGCCGGGCCGATAAAATACATGATTTCTCAACGATAGCATGATTCAGAAGAACAATTGAGCTTCCAATACTTCCTTGTACGCGGCAGTAACTCTCATCCAAGACATTGATCGGGAGCTCGATATGATTCATCCTGGTTTTCCAAAATCTTTTTACATAAGAAACATACAAAGATTGATCATACCTTGTCAAGTAGCTCAGCAAAAGTTTGAACCCAGGTTCAACAAGTTTTACTTCATCGTAGCCAAATTCCCAGTCATGAAATGTATGAGGCCTCTCTAAACGAATCAAGGGAGCTGGTTGGGAGCGAGCTATGGTTATCCTTTCTCCAATCCTCGCAACCTTTATAGTCATTACGTGAAGGACGCTCAAAGCGCACACGCAAATCTCCTCCACTCTCGGCTCCAAAGACTTGAAATGCTCCACAGCCATTGAGACAGCATTCTGGACCCCAGCGTCGTCGTTGAGCTGAATCGCAAGGAGAACTCTATGCTCTCCACCCTTGCTAATCATCCAGGGAGAAGCCAATCTTGCAGCGTTTTCAGTGTCTCAGCAGCGGTTCAGTCCGTCATCCAGAGGGAGATTTGAAGAGAAACAGCTTTCATACCATATACTATGAACTCGCTTCTTTGGCTCGCACGTAGTGAAGCTGATGTTCTCCCATTCAGCTAGCACCAATACATACTTGGCAAGCTCCACAAACGCTTGCATGTCCGGCTCCAAGAGAGGCAGCTCCATGAAGAACACGTAGTTTTGGCACACCATACCGTAGAAGACTAGAGCATGGAGCTTTGCATGGTCGGATGTAAGCGGCTCCTCCACGATCGCAGCTTGAGAGATCATAGAACCACTGTGAACGTTATGAGTTTTGCTGAGGGAAATCTCACGTATGACGAAGGGATTGGAGCGCAAGTGAAAGCCTCATACAGCAGCCTCAACAACACTGCACTCTCAATCATCTTAAACAGGAACTCAACGTCAGGTTCGCTCTCGCTCTCACTGATCAACAAGCGACGGACCGTGTCGAAGCACTGATCAAGCGGGAGTAGAAGATGGCCGAGTATGATATTCCAAGCTTCATGACCACGGCTGCTCAGCTTTCGATTCATCGTCTCCTGCAGAACTCGGTCATCCCAGCCAGCAAGAGCGATCCATTCTGGGGGGTCGTACGTGCAAGCCATCCAGTTATGTGGTATGTTTTCCATGTTGGAGGACACAATGTTATCGCTCGTGTTGATGGTGAAGCTGGCCGTGTCAAGATCGATGACATAACTGTAGTGGACATAGGTTCTCCGAGGAGCAAATAGTAACATGAAACTGCACGGGAGAAAGCCGAGCTCAAGGATACGGTACCAGAGCTTTGAAGGTCCAAGGGAGACAAGATCCCAGGGATTGCCCCAAGGATTCCCGCCTTGAAGTTCTCTCCGTATCTCCTGTGACCCGGCAGCAGTGCAAACTTGGTCCAGGAATTGGGGTGATGGAAACTCCACGTTCCCAAACTACAGATGGAAATTTACACACAGCAAGAGGGTGTCAGAGAACTCTCACCTGGAATACCACTGCACGATCAATCAAGAATTTCAAGAGCTGGACAGAATGATCCTTCAGAGAGTCGACGATCATTTTACCGAGGACCTCCAAATTGGAGTCCATTTGATTGTAGATGCAGTAGTAGACACCTTTGTAGCGGAAGCTTATGTAACCGTGGGTGCCCATGCGTTTGATAACGTCTGGCTAGCCCTAGGTGGCGATGAAAGAGGTTTATATTAAGCATTAAGCAATGAGACCAAAGCTACTACTATCGCAAGATCTGGTGGTCTCTGTTCTTGCCAGCAACTTCTCAAGACCTCTTTCAGATCCTTGCCCGTCCTCCGGCGGCGGTGGCAAGTTGAGATCCAGCTCCAGGTGTCTGCTGCTCCGCCTGGAATGATCTGGGCGACGATCACGATCGCAATTATCACCCGCAGTTGCCACCAACACCATCGGACTGTCGTTATCAGTCGTCGTTGTGGACGCTGAGACCCTGAGTACCTGATTGCTGTCAGCAGCAGGAGGAGGAGTGGCAGTACCCGGATTGTTGCTGTTGTTACTTCCCCCGACCCAATGGCAGCGCTTGTGGCCTCCCAGCGCTTGCCCGGTCGCGAACACTCGGTGACAAATCGAGCACTCGTGTCCTCCTGCCAGAGATCTGTTAGAGAGACTGGAGTCCCTGTACTGCTGCTCGTACTGGTGGTACCGGTTCTCCTCGTCCGGATCGTAGCAGTCATCGTCAAGAGTGGTCAGCGTCGTCGTTGCCTTGCTGCTGCTGCTACTGCTCGTCTTGATCGCAAAGCACCCCTTGACCTTCTTGTGGCTGGCGCGGTGGCCCCCGAGCGCCTGATGCGACTTAAAGACACGCTTGCACGTCGCGCACGAGTACCTCCCTGGTGCTGTTGCGGACGCCGCCGAGGTAGCAGTAGTCCGGCAGGAGGAAGACTTTGCGCGCACCCAGTCCACTTCCTCGCCACCTTGATCATCGGGATCCGCCAGCAACTTTGGATCCAGCGGAGATCGATGGAGTCGAGCTCGCCGATGATGATCGTCGGCAGCCACTGACGCGCACGAGGATGCCCGCCTGATCGTCTCGGTGTCACCAGCCCCGCCGCCGCCGCCCGCGAGCATGACGAGACAATTGGCCATATCTTTCTCGTCCTTGATGTCAGCTGGAGCGGCAAGAACATGAGTCCGCCAGCGATTCTTCTGGCGTAACGAGCGGCGGCCGGATCTCCGTCCCGTCATTATCTTCTTGTTTCCAGGCGGGATCACTGGGCCTGATGCTGCTGCTGCCTTGCCTGTGATCGTCGTGGCGGCAGCCATCGCCATTGCTGCCGCGACGTACGTCGCCTCGATGCTGTCGCTGCTCTCAGGACCCTCCTCCTGATCGATGGCGTCGATCTTTCGCTTGGGATTCTTCGCCTTGTCGATCCAGCTCGAGGCGGCGGCGGCGGTGGCGATCTTGTGGTCGCGATCGACAGCTCGCGGAGACGACGAGCCTGACGAATCGGAGGATTCTCCTCCTTGCCCTAAGATCATTGGAAATCTCCTGTGGCATCTCATGTGACCAGACAAGGCCTTACCGGATGGGAATTGCTTGCGGCATTCCAGGCATGCAAACGGCGGCGATGATCCTCCTCCCAGCTCCTGCGATGGACGATCTTCTTCTTTCTTGATCGCCGGCGGCGGCCGCGGGAGATTGGCGTAACGATCTGGCGCTGGAGGATCGAGCTGCTCTTCCGATTTCGATTCCTCCACCAGGCGCAAGCTCCGGCCGCGCTTGGGATGGCTCCGCGGAGGAGAATCTCGCAGATTGGTTGGATGCATGACGCCGCCGCCGCCATCGATCATCGATCCGCCAAGAATGCCACGGATCCTATCCCGGCCACGGACTTCGTCCAGGAATCGCCCCAGGCCAAGATCGAGGCGGCAGTCCCTGGCCGAGATTCTTGCATGCCGCTGCTCGACCTGATCATTTCCATTCCAGGCCGTCGCCGCCGTCGCTACTTCACTCTTCCCTCGATCGTCGGAAATATCCTGCGAGAAGCCACCGATATTTCGACGATTCCCCGGCCGATCGGCCATGGCGAGCAATCCCAGCTCCTCGACGCGCTGCTGCCAAGATTTGAGGAAAGAAGGCGGAGGAGGAGAAGCGGCAGCGAAATCTTGCTGCGTCGCCATTCCAGAGCATACATCAGTACATCGAGCTAATTTAATCTTTGGATCCCGGAAGAGAGCTAGGCGCGCTAAAGCGAGGAGCTCGAAAGAAAGAAGATCAAAAAAGAGCTTTAGGGAAGTGGAAGAAGGAGAAGGCAAAGAGCCATTTCTAAACGGCCCATACAGCCACCATCATAGTAGCTGCTTATAGCGTAGTGACAGTGGAGTGGCGTGGGTTAGTTAGTAAGTACAGTGTGCTCTAACTATTACTTAGTTAACACCCATCGCTTTCCTCTACTCCTCCCTCTCGCGAGCTCGCGTAAGGAAGTTGCTTTTCCACTTCACTAGTTAGCTAGAGTAGAGAAGCATATGCCATGTCATTGACTGGATCAAAGCCACATTAAATTAAAGCTAAAGGGGGTCTCTAAGCTAACCGCTGCGTTTAGGGCACAGAGGCCGAATATTCGAGAGCAAGAGGACAACCGCCACGTGTCAGCTGCTGTTCACGCGTATTCATCTTGAATGTCTGGTTTGTCTCTCCGGCCATGGCGACTAGAAAGACGCGAGCCAGCGCGAATTGCAGGCGCTCTTTTAGCGATTAGCTCCTAGGGTTTATGGCGGCAGCGCGTCTCTCTCGCCCGCGCGCGCGGCGTGCCGCTGGCCATGCGAGAGGATCGAGGTGAGTGGCCGCGGCGGCAGCGAGCAGCAGAGAAATCGCGCTGCGCGTTTGGGATTTCGGGGCCGGATCGAGGCTAGGGTTTTAGAGATCTGGGAGCGGGAGGATGGAAGCTCTCAATGGGAATTTCTACGGCTTCACGGCCGACGATTACTACGAGCGCCTGGCGGCCGGGTCGGACAACATGTCCGTGGACAGCGTCGCCAGCCTCCACACGAGCAATGGCGGTGGATCCGTGACGATGACAGCGGCGGAGAGCAGCGTCGGCTCTAACGGGTCGAGCAGGACGATCCTGATGCACCCGGAGCTGGGGATCAAGCGGGGCAACCGCAGCGTGACGGGCTCCTACAGTGTTGTCCACCCCAGCACCGTGGGCGCGCCGCCGCCCACGGACGAGGACGTGCTCACCAATGCGCTCATGGATGCGCGCTCGCCCACGGAGGGGCTCGAGGGCTACGACGACTGGACGCTGGATCTCCGGCGGCTGGCCATGGGCCACGCATTCGCGCAGGGCGCGTCGGGCCGGCTCTACAGGGGGACCTACGACGGCGAGGACGTGGCGGTGAAGATCCTGGAGCGGCCCAAGAACAACGCGGAGCGCGCGCAGGTGATGGAGCAGCAGTTCACGCAGGAGGTCCGGATGCTGGCGGCGCTCAAGCACCAGAACGTGGTGCGATTCATCGGGGCGTGCCGGAAGCCGCTGGTGTGGTGCATCGTGACCGAGTACGCCAAGGGCGGATCCGTGCGCTCGTTCTTGAGCAAGCGGAAGTCGAGGCCCGTGCCGCTCAAGCTGGCGGTGAAGCAGGCGCTGGACATCGCGCAGGGGATGCAGTACCTCCACAACCTGGGATTCATCCACCGGGATCTCAAGTCGGACAACTTGCTCATCGCCACCGATAAGTCGATCAAGATTGCCGACTTTGGCGTGGCCAGGATCGAGGTCCAGACCGAGGGGATGACGCCCGAGACCGGGACGTATCGCTGGATGGCACCGTAAGCGCATTTCTCTCTTCGTTCTCTTCGCGTTTTCGTGTTCTTCCTCCATAGCTAGACTTCAAAGCCTCACTAACCGTTTCATTCATTGCAGAGAGATGATCCAGCACAGGCTTTACACACACAAGGTGGACGTTTACAGCTTTGGCATTGTCCTGTGGGAGCTCATCACAGGATTGCTACCGTTCCAGAACATGACGGCCGTGCAGGCAGCGTTTGCGGTGGTGAACCGAGGATACAGGCCGGGCATCCCAGCCGACTGCCCGCCGGCGCTGGCCGAGATAATGAGCCGGTGCTGGGACGCAAACCCAGACTCGAGGCCGGGGTTCGCGCAGGTGGTCAAGATGCTCGAGGAAGCTCGGGCGGAGATCGTGCACTCGGTTGGCAAGGCCAGATTTCGCTGCGGCTGCATGGCTCGTCCCTTGACCAACGATTGAGTGACAAGATCTCGCGAAGAACTGTGATGATAAGCAAAAGAGAAGAAGAAAAGAGTGAGAGCAGTGGAGTGAACGAAGAAAGAAAAACTGTCCGGGTTTTTGAGAGAAAGCATTGTATATTGTTGGTAATTTTACTAACTCTTCTCTTTGTGTACTCTCTCTGTGTATGTAAAATGGACATACTTCAGCTCGCGGCGAATGCGAGTGAGTTTGTCGCTTGATCCTGACAAGGTGATGCTTGAATCTGTGTTCGTTTGATCCATTCCAGAATTGGAGGGATGCACGCGCTGGAGCTCACGAAGATCCTACACACACAACGGAACGGACTGGGTGTTTTAGTCAAGGTCATGGCCGTTGTTGCTTACTTGTTCTTGGCGACGTAAGACTTTAAAAGCGAGAGCTCCTTCTTGGCTATCGCTTCGGGCGAGAGGACCACCCGCGACTCGATCTTTACGTCGGCCGGCCTGGAGTAGTCATCCGTCAGGAAATCGAGGATCTTCTCCTGCGAAGTCATAACCGAAGATTGAGTGAGAGGCTTCCGAATCATTAAATGGGTGTGGAGAAAGAGGAGAGGAGCTCACTTACCAGTGGCTGTGAAGCGTCTATCCATTGGAAGAGAGGCTCGTTACGGAACCAGGTCAGCTGCCGCCGGGCATAATTCCTGGAAGGGCCACCTTTATCATAAGACTACGACCGCATCAATGACTTCAAGACTACCTGGAAGCTTGCTGAAATGAAGAGAGAAATTTCAGGAAGTGTTCTTCGGATGACACACCGCCAGCGCATCGACATTCATTCAAGTACTCCATTGCCTGTACGATGATGACGGGTTAGGCGGTAAGAAACCGAGATTTTTTAGAGTTGATCGCGTCACCTGTCGATATCCAATGGCCCGGGACGGCGGGCTTGAGCCTGGTTGGATTCGTAAGTCTAGCAGCCATGACGCCTCGGCCAGGATACCACGACCACTCTCGGCGTTTTCTATAGAGAAAACATGAAAAAAAAAAGAGAAAACACACGTCAGGCCAGCCATTTGATCATCATCTTGTTGTCATTACCAGCTGCCAGCATTTCTTCGCATCGCGCATCAATCGCCCTGTAAAGATCAATGCGGCGCCTGTAGAGAAAGTAGCACAGGAAATCGTAGTCCGTCTCTGGAGCGGTAACTGAAGCAGAGTTAATATCCTCCTTCACGTCGCTATTAGCTTCAGGTTTTTGTCCCAGAGAGAATCGTGTTCTTGGCTGTCCAGATGCCTGCAAACTCGACAAACGCTACCACGTACTAACTCCGCTCGAAACTCTTTACCTTGATGATTGAGAGAGCTCTTCGGAGGCGATACCAGTCATTGCGAGTGAGGCTCTTGGCAGTCAAGACGTCCCCTGCTTTCTCCAGAATTTCAAGCGCTCCGTCCCAGTCACCCGCCTTTTGTAGAGCTGAAACTTCCGCATCAACTTGAGCAGTAATCTCCGGGCTCTCCTTTGGAGTACCCGGCTTACCATTCAAGTACCTACGAAACAAAAACCATGGCGTTATAGCTCCACTCCTTGCTGAAATGGCAGAAAGGATCCTTACCAGCGCAGGTAGAGACCAGTACCGCCAACAACAATTGGAACTTGTCCCCTCGAAGTCACTTCGTAAGTAGCTCGCCTTGCATCATCGAAGAACGCTCCAGCCGTGTATTCTAAACTGTTACAAGTTGAGTCCTCTTTCCACGAACAAAGAAAACGAGAAAAAGGAATCCACTCACCATCCGTGGGATCCACAATGTCAAGCAGATGATGCGGCACGCCCTGGACACACCAGTGACACACAATTTCTTGCTGGAATCCAATAAACCTCTACAAACCTCTCGCTCTTCCAAGGGCGTCTTGGCGCTTCCAACATCCAGCCCTCGATACACCTGCATTCCATAGCCCCGTCCAACGATCGCTCCATCGGCCCTAGAAATGTCGGAAATCTATCGATACCTGGACAGAATCGGCGCTCACAATCTCGCCATTGAGCCGCTGCGCGAGCGCCAGCGCCAGGCGCGATTTTCCGACGGCAGTCGGGCCGGAGATGACGATCACGCGCCGCGCTCTCGTCTTGCTCGCGCCACTAGAGCTCATTCTCCACAGCGCCAAGCCGCCACAATGGCATTCCCCACTACTCATAAGAAAGAGGGTTTAGTTAAAAGCCTCCTTTTATTACTGTGGTTGTATCATATAAAGGATTTACTAGGGCCGGAAGAACCCTAATTCTTGGAAATGTTGCGCGTCAAGTTTGGGCAGCGATCTAGGTACTTGTGCACCACGATCGCCGCTGTTCAAGACGAGCATTCGCTACTGCCTCCTCGCTCGAGAGAATTCGAGGGTAGAGGCACTCTGGTACTCGACCTAGACGAGACTCTGGTTTACATCAAGTGTGAGCAAGGATGCCTCGTCAATTGCGAGTGTGGCGAGGGTGATGGCTTCTACGTTGCCAAGAGGCCCTGCGTTGACGACTTCTTGCAGCTGATTGTTGCAAACTTTGAGGTGGTTTTATGGACGGCCTCTCCGCAGCCGTATGCCGAGGCTGCTCTGGGACTGCTGGATCCCGAGGGGCAGATTTTCGCGCACAGGCTCTACAGGCAGCACTGCGTAGGGGGCGTGAAAGATTTGTCCCGGCTGGGGCGGGACTTGAGCATGGTGGTTGTGGTGGACGATCAAATCTCCAACTTTCCCAGTGCGCTTCTGCACAACATGATTGCCATCAAGCGGTTTATCCGGGATGGAAGCGACGAGCAGGAGCAGGATGTCACACTTCAAAAGCTTGGGCAGTTGCCCACCAGGCTTCTGAGGGAGTCCCCATTGGACTTCGTGAAGTGGTTGGACGAATTCAGGGAGGAGGGGTTTTTCGATGCGATTAAAAGCATTGGGGAGAGAGCAATGCCGTGGTTGCCCTCTTGGAGAAGGGACAAGCTTCAAAGTGGTTTACCTTTTGTAGCTGAAGTTCAAATGCCCGTTTACGTGCCACTTCTCAGCGAAAAGTGCAATGAAGACTTCTTTAGGTTACACATGATTTTATTTTAGAGTTTCTATCTCTTAAAAATGGTTAAAATTAATTAACTTGAAAAGAGAGATAAAATAAATTACAACTAGGGTGAGAAATAAATAATAAATTATTAATCTAAAAAATTTAAACTAAATATATAGTACCTTTATAATTTTATTTCTTTATATATTCAAATTAATTTTAGTTTGATTAATAAATATAAAAAGTATAATTTTATATAGGGGAAGAAGATCTACAAACTCAAAATTACCCCAAGGCTAGAAAATGATTCAATAGTGGGCATAGTGACCATCAAATTTTTTTTATAGTAATGTATTTTTAATTTTTTTAATAATTTATGTATAATAAACTTATCTTGTAGCTGATGGCTGCAAACCTTGAGGTGGTTTTGTGGATAGTTGAAGAATGATACAACAATAGACATAACAATTATCAAAGATTTTTGTAGTAATGTAGTTTTAATTTTTTTTAAAATAATTTATACACAATAAACTTAAATTTTAGTTGAATTGAGTTTGTAACAAAACAAAGTTATCCAAAAACAAATATATTATATTGTATGTTTTTTAATGTAATAAAAATGCTATCTATTTTTAAATCATAAATAATATAAATAATAAAATTAATAAAAAAATCTAAAGAGTGACTTTACAGGTCCTTTTGCACAAGAAAAATGAAAAGAATGAAATAAATATAGAAGAGTTGTGAACTTTTTCATACCTTTGAACGTCTGTTTACATGCCACTTTATGGTGAAAAGTGCAATGAAGACTTTCATGGATTTCATACAATTCCAATTTAAAATTTCTATCTCTTAAAAATTGTTAACATTAATTAACTTGAAAACAGAGAGAAAATAATTCTTGATATATTCAAATTAATTTAAATTTAATTAATAATTATTGAAAATATGATTGTATATGATATGGAGGGGAGGAAATACACAAGTTCGCAATTACTATAGTGCTGAAAAATGATACAACAATATACACAATGATCATAAAAGATTTTTGTAATAATGTAGTTTTATTTTTTAAAATTTATTTATGTACAATAAAATTATATTTTAGTTGAATTGATATTATAACAAAACATAGATACGAAAAATAAATATATTATAGTATTTTATTTAATGTAATTAAAAAACAATGTTCATGTAAATATAAATAATGGAAATAATGAAATTAATAAAACCATCTAAAGAGTGACTTTTAAATATTCATTTATATAAAAGGAAAAAAATTAAAATTTCATATCTATAATAATATTAATTTACTTCACATATATACAGTGACGCGAGTATATTTCTGGTTTAAAGCTGATATGTGTGATGTCATCAAATATCTGGTGACATCAATCTGCGCTTCTTGGGAAAAAGAAGCGGTGATTTCACCCGTAAAGGTGAGCGTGCCAGAGCATGACTATGGGCTTTGCCCGCGCAGGTCCGAATCCTGCCGCTCACGAAATCCTTGTAGATAAGAATTTGTTATTCTAAAATTGCTGGATTGCGATTCACTTAAATTTTGGCTGATGCACATGAGGCATTCAAGGGACTCTCCAGGCTTCATAACCTTCTAACTTGCTTGCGCCAGATGCAAGAGACGAAAGCGTTGGCAGCATATCTCCAAACGTTGAGGAGATTGCCGCAGCAGACTTGTCACGGAGCCTCCCTACTTGTCCATCACCAATAATCGACCCGAACTTGAGAGTCCCTTCTCCAAGTCGGCTTCCCACCTAAGTAAACATACATAGAGATCACCACGTATACAGACTAGTGTTCTTCCTTCTTACCTGGCCCATGAAAGATTTGAGTAGAGGAGCATTGACGAGAGAAGATAACCCCGTGGAATCATCAAACGTGAAGTTTCCACCCTGCTCTTTCTGCTGGTAAGCTTTCCAGGCGTTCGAAATGTCTCCCTCTTGGTTGCCACCCGCACCACCGTTGATGGTTCTCGCACCAACGTTGCCTCCTGTGAGAGGCATACTGCAAACAAAAGAAGAAACATCAACGGCCGACGAGGAGAGAAATGTCCAAGTTTTCTTGATTACCTGATAGGGAGAGTTATAAATCGTGGAACCGAGGCCGACAAGCCGATAGTGTTGCCATCGGTTACAGGCTGGTTTCTTAATGCCGCGTCAGTGTAGAGACGGTTTAGCTGCGTGAGAAAGCCGAAGAGAACAGCGCAGCGATGATAACAGCGGCGCTCATTCTCCCATAGCTGAGGTTCGTAACTGTAGAAAAGTAAAACAAACCATGAGCTATTCATGATTGAGTAGATAAATGAACTTACGTAGCCCAATCAATCGGATCCAAGTTGCTGGACAGTTTTGACAAGAGGGTTTTCACCGCTTTCTGGCTTTTAGATTTAACAGCTGCATCTTGGATGCCTACGAGCACGTCAGCCAAGAAGCGCACGTCAAAGAGAAGCTGAAGCGATCCTCTCTCGGATATCTGGACGCTTCCGGACAAGTAACCTTCGTAAGCTGCAAGGACCTGGGGTCGTCATCAAGTGTCACAAATGAAAATCGTGGAAAAGTAAAGCGACTACCTTCTCAAGAAGTGTTGCTGAAAACGAGTGGATCACTGACTTGTCCAAAACGTGACCCCCAACTCTGTATATTTCTTGGTTCGCCAAGAACAGCAAGGACACCGCGTAAGGCGAAGCCATGCCCGGCAAAGAGATCTTAATCTCGCCCTCGGCATTGTCCGTCTCTTGCTTAAGAACTGTTTCTTCCCATCCCTTGGAGCAGAAGTAAAGTCATATCAGCGTGACACCAACAAAACTTAACCAATGTACCTTTGGAAAACTCGTAGCAAAGAGACCATCGTCCATGCCAAGATCCTTGAGGAAAATCTTTACCAGGACGCCAGTGCTCCAGGACACCCAGAGGTTGTGTGCTATGTCCCACTGACTGCGAAGAGAACCCTGCAAAGTCTGTAATCTCGAAGAAATCCCATCTGTGGCTCTTCTTCTGCTGCTACGAAATTCCGGAAGATCACTCTCCTTCGAGAACATTTCGGACGATCTCTTGTGATGTGTTATCCACTGCTCTGGAGACCCGAAGATCACTGGCAGGTAGTGTAGGTGCGTTCCCAGGGCCAGCGAGAGCCTTCCCAGGAACAGAGCTCGTTCCAAAGTTACGAGGCTATCCAGCCCATTCGCCGTTCCCAGATCTTTAAAGTTGAGCGTGAGTTTCTTCAACTCCACCTCGAGCTCGCTACAGATGCGCGACATGCACGAAAGAACTTTCTCGTGAAGATATGGTGCGAGCTCCAGGATCCTCGTCGGACTTTGTGGCTCGCCAAGAAACATGAGAAGATCGAGCAGGATGGCATTCAGCCCGTCGTCCACCTCTTCCTTCAAACGACAAACATCCGGACCGAAGTACAAGCTGATCTCTCCAAGCCATTCCCTGCTCGTAGGCCCTTTCGTTTGAGGCTGTCCAATATCTTCTACCAAACTTCGTAGTAAACCTGTATTCGGCTGTTGCAAGCAGGAGGAAGCGTCGATCGAGCTGAGAAGCCTCTCCACGACAGCCATGATCGTTATCTTCTCGATCCGCGAGTCTACAATGGCTTTTATCCTCCTCAAGAACATGCTCTCAAAGAGCGTCTCCCACAAGTTGACGGAGCTGTTCAACAGCAGTGCGCTCAAGAACTCCCAGGGCGAGCTAATCGTCTGGCCAAAGGCGCTCTTGAGCCACTCCACGCCCTCTCGAAGAGCAGCCTGCTGCTCTATATGGAGCCTGATCGAGCTCTCCATCTCCGCGAGATCTTTCCCGTTGGAGACACCGTCGAGCACCGGCCGAGCGTCGTCCAAGAGCTCTTGCGCGCACACGCCAAGGAAGGAGAGGCTGCCTTGAGCCACAAACTCCCCGGACAGCGGAACCATGCGCGCCTCCAGCTTCTCCCTGTGGAGCTTCCAGGCACGAACTTCCTTCTCCGGATTGTAAATCCCTCCAAAGAGCTGGGACGACGGCGGTGCAGTGAGGACGGTGGTGAAGAGCAGCGGCGACGTTCCATTCGAGACTTCCAGGAAAAGTTGGCCAATGTGGCAGAGCGTCAGCTGGATCATGTCCACCGTTTTGTTGAGTACCAAAACTCTGTCCTGTAGAGACGAAGAGCTCGTGATCACCACCTTGGTTCTCAAGTAGCTTCTCAGCCACGACTTCCTCGTCTCGACGAACAAGGAGAAAACCTGTGCCGACGAGAGATCTTCCACGATCGCAATGGCCGCCAGCGCCACAGCGTAGTCGCTAGCTGCAAATCCGGGTTCCTGCAAGCGCTCTCGGCTCCTGGCCGAGATCTGTCCCTGGAATGTCTCTATCACTGGCCACTGGTGGTGCCACAGCAGCGAGAAATTCGTGGCGGCGCTGGAATCGCCACCACCTCCGCCGCCGCCGCTGCTGAGGAGCAATCCATGGACCTGGCGAGCTCGCAAGAATCTTTCGGCGCCTTCCAGATACATGTGTTCGTCGAGGCAGCCCCAGATCTTCTCTGGAGTGTCCACCAGATACTTCACGCGACTGCCAACCCCGTAGAGATCCTCGCGGCTGCTGCCACTACTGGAGATCGAGGCCACTGCCACCGCCGCCAAGGAGGAGGAGGAGGAAGAGATCTTGATGCTCTCCTTGAGGCGATCCAATCCCTGCGCCATACCTGAGAGATTTTCCATGACGCGGTGGCAGCAGTCCCCCATGACGAGGATGGAATCGGCGGAATCGATGAGATCCCGGTAGCTGGCCCCGACCAGCTGCCGCAGCTCCTCCTGCTTGTCCTGGATCTCCTTGCGCGTCGCGGATTCCACCTCCCGGACCTCCGCCACGGATCGCGACTCGAGGAGAGCCTCCGCATTCCTGGCATTGCCGTCGCCCCCGCCTCCTCGCTCGAATCTGCCGCCCCTCATCGCGATCTCTGGCCCTATCCCATTCTACCTATTTTGTTGGAACCCTAAAATGTCTGGTACGCTTGAAAATCTGGTCAAGCGGAGGTTCCCTGGAGGATTGCTTGATTGATAGTGAGTGATTTGCAGAGGAATGAGCTCTCGAGCAGAGATTCACATCGATTCGGCTCCAATCACGCCATCACGGAGAAGCTATGATAAAGGGGGAAAAAGCGCAAGCCTTCGATTGCGATGTCTTCCCCGTGAATGACAATGCAAGGCTCTCGATTCGTTTTGCACAGCTCCATTTCGATCGAAGACAAATTGCGATCGCGCACCATTCACATCAAACTTCGCTGAAGAGCTGACACGATCTGGCAAGTGTGTAAGGGTTTATCTGGAAATGGGGCATTTCAAAAACGAAGAACCCTAAAATCTATCAATCATTTTGAGAAAGAGGACCGTTTGAGAGAAACGGGGAGAAAGGGCGAAGAATGGCGAGCCACAGCGGCGGGGTTGGCAGTGGCGGCGGTGGCAGCGCTAGCGGCTACGAGAGCCCGATGGTGAGGCAGGAGCTTGCGAAGCTGGACAAGGGCGGTGAGAAGCGGCGCAGCGCCCTGGCGTCGCTGCGCGCCTGCGTGGAGAAGCTCGACGCCTCGAGCGTTCCCCGGTTCTTGTCCCAGGTCGGCGACGCCCGCGATCTCTCCGAGTCGCGCCCCCACGCCATCTCGCTCTATACGGACGTGGCGCGCGTCCATGGCCGGCTCATCGCGCCCGAGATCCCCCGCATTATGATCACCATCACGCGCACGCTCTCCTCCAGCGGCAGCTCCATCCATCTCCACGAATCTTGCGCCCGGGTCGTGGCGGCGCTGCTCAGGTACGCAATCTCGCCGCTCAGCGCCATGGCCGACGCCGACAAGGTCTTCCCCGACGTTTGCAACCCTCTCATCGACGTTCTCTCGGCCAAGATCGAGCCGCTGGCCGCGGGCGCGGCGATTTGCCTCCAGGCTGCGGTGGAATCCGAGAAGTGGAAGTACGCGCCCCGGGATTTGGTCGCGGATTTGTGCGCCAGGGCGAGCGCGGTGCTGAAGGATCGTTCCGGGCAGACAGTGGGGCACATCCAGCTCGCTCGATCGCTGGTGCGTGTCGGTGCCGTGGCGCCGGATTGTGGAGTGGCGCTTCTGCGCGCTTCCACCGAGATTCTCCGCGGCAATCCACCGGCGTGGCAGCAGAAAGCCTCGGCGCTCCAGCTCGTGAGAGCGCTGCTGCTGGGCCTGGACAAGAAATCCCTGGCCGAGGAGTCGGAGTCGATTGGGAAGATCATCGAGCACATCAGGCGGGACCGGATGCCTCACGTACGCAGCGAGGCCGTCAAGGCGCTCCAGGCGCTCAAGGCCCAGCAAGTCTCTTTCTCTTCGGACGACGCGAATGGCAACTCGATCCACTTGGCGGTGGCCGGGATGGATTCTTTGAGCCGCTCGAGCTCGAGATCTTCCCGGAGTTTCTTGTGGGAGCAGCACCGGGACGAGCTGTGCTCCGCCGCGGCGCCGTCGACGTCGCAGGAGTCGCAACTTGTGAGCCTCTCGCCACCCCCGGCGTCACCCGAGTCGTCCTCGCCGGTCTCGAGGAGCCGGCGCCGCCGGCGGTATCCGCTGCTTCCTCCAGCGCAGCGGACGGGCTCCTCAGGGTCTTCGAGCATTGCCACCAGTGAAGACGCCTCGGATTCCTTTGCGACTTTCGAAGCTCCCGGCTTGGAATCCAAGGAGAACGGGCAGATGGAAGAGGGGTTGCAGCTGGACGATCAGTGTGCTGCTAGCAGCGAGAGTTGCGTGGTTGACGACTCCGAGGAGGTGGTGGTGGGGAACTTTTTTGGAGAAGTTGACGTTACCGCGACCGCAAGGAGCACGAATGCGCGGTATGCTCTCGTTGATCAGAGCCCGGCTAGCACTGTTACTACTGCCAATGGAGACGATGTTGCGAAGTTCTCCAACAATGTCGCAGCGACACCCGAGGTAAGCCTTCATGTTGGTTTCCACTGTTTCATAACATCTTTTCTCGTTTGGTATTCTTGTTTTGCAGCGAAGCGCATCGATTCTTACTGCTGAAGACTTCACAAAGTATACAACGCCGAGGAGGCTGGTGCGGTCGCTACAGGCACTTGAATCCAGTCCAGACAGTGATCCCGACGAGAAGCTGGACGACTCAGTGTTAATCGACGGGGAGGCCGAAGAAGAAGAAGAATCCAGCGAAGCGGCTTGGAGTGTCCGGGACAATCCCATCGCCGAGCAGGACTTATTCGCCGATCGCCACCGCTTCCATCTTCAACAGCCGCAGAAGCATGGTGAGTGTGATGATCCACTGTTCCAGGACGAAGAAGATCAAACCGAGAACACACCGCTATCACCACCACAATCGTCGACGAAAGCGATCAAGCCGGTTGTGACGAAGAGCAAGAAGAAGAGGACTTGGAAGATCGCTCGAGGATGGATTGAATGGCTACTGGGTGGACTGTTAGTCGTGGTGCTACTACTTCCTCTGGCTATGGTGGTGTTAATGCTGGGGTTTAGCACCCACGATGTTGGCTTGGTTCCAACTTAGAGAACTTAAGTTAATTTGACAATAGGCAGTACAAAGATTCGATCCCTGCACGTCCCATTGACTAAGGAATTAATATTTCCCCCCGAGCTGTCGCGACGAGCTCGTCCTAGGTTTTCCTTCCGGTTCCCGCCGGCTATGGCCGAGCGCGAGTGGCTGCGCCAGATGGTGGAACTCATGCTAGGCAAGCTCAAGGGAGGCGCGCGAGTGGATCGTCGTGAGTTTTATCGGATGTGCGTCGTTCTTTCCAAGTAAGTGAGAAAGATTTTTCTGGAGCTGCGAAATTGAGAGGTTTTGGAGCTGCAGGGCTATGGATTGCGCAGTCGCTGCGAATCAGAGCCCGCATTGTGTCCACGATGTGATCCAGCTGCTCAAGCAGGTTCGATTTTGTTTCGTTTGCTATGCAATGTGAGCAAATGTCTTCTTCTTTTTTTTCTTCCCATAGGTGTGTACACAGAAAGACGATGCCGACGTTCGTCCTGCGATCGTGTTGGTGATGCTATCTTTCAAGGTGCTCGAATTAAATATCTATTTTTCGGGGAATGCTAACTTTCCAAGTTACTTTTCAGGGTGCTGTTCAAAAAGGATGGTTTAACAATGTGGAATATGGAGATCTTCTCTGTGTTGTCAACGAAGTAAGTACATTCCTTTTTGGTGCCAGGGTCTCACCCGCTTCGGTTTATGCAGCTTCTCGACCTGTATGATAGACTTGGGTCTGCATGCGTGAAAACGCCAACGGATTTCTCGAGCATTGAGAAATTCACCGGTGACGTCCTTATGCGGTATGACTATCGTATTGCCCAAATCGTTGCGTTTCCTGACGGTATTGGAATGTTCTAGCTTGTATCCGTGGCTGAAACTGGGTAACATTTTGCTATACATCGAGGCAGAGGTCAGTGATTCTTGTTATACAGACAGAGACTAAACTTTGGTGAGGTTTTAGGCCGGCTACAGGACCGTGGTTTCGGAATTTTACATCCATACTCTTGCGCCAGTGGTATGTTTTAAAAGTTTATGGTGTTTGTAACGATCATTTCTAGAAGCTTTTTACTATCAGAAGGGACGCCGTCGAACAACCGTCGTGCTTGACTCCGCCAGCTCTAGTGAGCTTCATCCTAAACGGATATCCTGTCGATAGAAGAACACCACTTCAAATGGTATGTACGACAATGTTGTACCTGAGTCTCAAGTTCCCGTACAGGATAGTGGACCCCAACCCCCGGCAGAGTGCGCAAGATATTGCAGGTTAGGAAATAATGTATTGCAAGTTGTGGGAGAATTTGCAGGTTTGTAAATGGGGCTGCTCAAGCTTGCTTATTCCATTGTTATTCCAGCTTCATATGTAATTCTGGTGGCTCATACGAAGAATGCAATCTTGGTTCCAACTTTGCTGGACCTTCCGGAAACCTGGCTCTTTGGCTCGCAGGCAGGCAAGTGACTTTTGTTTCTGATAGACAGGACAGCTGAATTGGCTTGGCAATATTGCAGATGACGATCTGATGGAAGGGGCGTCTAAAGTCTCACTATGTTGTCCCATCAGGTAGATTTTTGTAGGCATTTCGCAAAATTTTACTGAGAACGTTTTCATGGATAGCCGGCAACGAATTGCAACTCCTGTGAAGGGTCTGGCATGCAAACACTTGCAGGTAAGGAAGTTATGATTTATTGAGCTTTTTCAAGGCAGTTGGTGGCTGTATAGTGCTTCGATTTCAAGAACTACACAGAAATGAACACAAAACGACCGTCGTGGCGATGCCCATACTGCAACGTGGTTGTGACTTTGCAAGACCTTCGTATCGACATGAAAATGGCAAAGGTAGTTCGCTGTTCGTTTTCTGTCTTTGAACTGATTTGGTTGCTTGCAAGATATTGCGTGAGGTCGACGGGAACATCAAAGACGTGATGCTCACCAACAATGGCTCGTGGCAAATGCTGGAGTCACATCCTATAAGCTCCCGAACGAAGAAAACCGTTCCAGTGATCGTCGACCTTAGCGAGATCGACAATGAGGATGCGCCATCACTTTCTCCTTCTCGTCCGCCGGAGTCTACTACCACTCCTGTGCTCCGAAGTTCCTCAATATTTTCAAGCTCGCCGGCTCTAACGGAGGACAGGAAGCCGGACATTGCCAGCTTATCAAGAACTTGGTCCGCAAATAACGTGTCATCAATCGGTTTGGCACCTAGTCGATCGCTTCCTGCGAATCTTCTGCCATCAACGCCAAACGGTTCCGAGTTGCGACAACATCAGCGCAACACACCAACAACTCGACTCAGGCTCCACCGCTCGGTATTGTACTTAGAACTCTTCTGTGCTGGATTGAGTGACAACATGTTGCGGTGCAGGATACGGAAAGGCTGATGCAACAACTGGCTGCCGTGCAAGCCCAGCACGCTCTTCAAGCTCAAGCTGCGCAGCAATCTCCACAGGCTCAAGTCCAGATGCAACAACAGATTCAACAGCATGCTCAGCTACGGCAAGCTCACCCAGTGCAAGTTCAGTCTTTACTGCAGCAAACTCAGGAAAGTCAGGCCATTCGCGCTCAAGCTCAAGCTCAACAGCAGCAGCAGCAACAGGCTCAGCTATGGCAGACTCATCCACAACATCATCAGGGTAGCTTCTCTCGACGACAAGCTCAAGCTCAGCAGCAGCAAGCTCAGATACTTTATGCTCAACATACTCTTCACTCTCAACGTGCTCCTGCCCAGCAATCTCAGCAAGCTGCGCCACAGCAAGCCGCTCAGCAACAATCTCCGCAGTTCCAGCTCCAGCCGAGGCAAATTCATCCGTGGCTTATGATTCCAGGCTCTAGCAATGATCCGCCACAGTAGGCTCTGTTGACAGAACACTGTCTTTCCAGAGGATTTTCTTAAAGGTTCGAACGAGTGAAACAAATCTCTTTTGGCTTTACGTAAGAATGCATGAAATTGGAATGATGGATCGAATAGAATAAAAGCTGCTTCTATAAAGCCTGGTGAGTCAACATTCTAGTCAAAATGGTTGACTGGCAAGACCGCGCGGTGGTAACTGGCGAGTGTAAAAATCTCCAGTGGATGCCGTCATGTCATGGACTGGTAGTGTCGTTAGCGCCACGTTGGCAGGGCTGCCCTAGAAGCATTATTTTTATTACTCGCTCGATGGATAGATAGCCTCTCTGTCGCTGTTCTTCCTCGCCTTCTCTTTTGGTTCTTTGCTGCTCCTCTCTCTCTCTCTCCAATCTCAAGATTCTCTGGAATGCCGCGCGATCGCTCATGAGCGATGGTGGCCGAATTGCTGCTGGCGCGGCAGCGATGGCCGTGGTGGCTGCCGCTGGCGGTGGCGCTGCTGGCGTTGGGATTCACATTGGGGCAGGGGCAGCAGGTTGGAGTGAACTGGGGCACGCAGCTCTCGCATCCTCTCCCCGGCGATACCGTCGTGCAGATGCTCCGGAGCAACAATGTCACGCGCGTCAAGCTCTTTGATGCGGATCCCAACGCATTGCGCGCCCTCACCAAGGATTCCAGCTTCGAGGTCATGGTGGGAATTCCCAACGAGATGCTCCAGCGCCTGGCGCAGAGCTCCCAGGCCGCGGATCTGTGGGTGTCGCAGAACGTGTCGCGCTACGTATCGGGGCGACGGCGAGCAAACATCAGGTATCTTGATGGACCTCTCCTCTTTCTTGGTGTTCTTGTTCTTGATTCTTGGTCCCCGGTCGATATTCTTGGTCTCTAGCATCGATTTCCTCGCGGTAATTTGGGACTGTATCGATATTTCTCCCATTCCTTGGGATTCTTGCGGGCATCGATATTCTTGGCGGATTCGTCGATATTCTCTCGACAGATCGATTCCTGGCAAGTTCTTCGGTCTCGATATTTCTGGATGATCTTGCCTGTGGTTCGACATAGCTTGTCTTGGAGAGCATTGGAGCATTGATGAGTCGCCTGGATCGACGCTAGAGTTTTCCTGTTCTTCCTGTTCTTGTTCTTGTTCTTGGCTGGGTCTAGTTTTTTCTAATTGCTGACGACGATATGGATCGATGACAATGGCAGATACGTGGCAGTGGGCAACGAGCCCTTCCTCACCGCCTACAATCGAAGCTTCGAGGGCGTGACGCTCCCGGCGCTTCAAAACATCCAGGGCGCGCTGGCGCGAGCGGGGCTCGACTCCCAGATCAAGGCCACGGTCCCACTCAACGCCGACGTGCTGGCCAACTCGCGGCCCCCATTCCCCTCGGGCGGGATCTTCCGGCCCGAGAGCCAGGCCCTGGTGGTGAGCATCGTCCAGTTTCTGAGCCAGACGGGCGCGCCCTTCGTCATCAACATCTACCCCTTCATCAGCCTCCACGGGGACCCAAACTTCCCGATCAACTTCGCCTTCTTCGAGGGCGCCGCCAACTCGATCGTGGACGGCTCCAACACCTACACGAACGTCTTCGATGCGAGCTATGACCTCCTCGTCGCCGCGCTCAACGCCGCGGGCTACGCCAACATGGCCATCATCGTTGGCGAGGTCGGGTGGCCGACCGACGGCGACCCCAACGCCAACGTCGAGAACGCGCGGCGGTTCAACCAGGGGCTGCTCCAGCACGTCCTCTCCAACCGCGGCACGCCGCTGCGCCCCGGATCGCCCATCCACTTCTACCTCTTCGGCCTCATCGACGAGGACCAGAAGAGCATCGCGCCGGGCAACTTCGAGCGGCACTGGGGGGTGTTCACGTACGATGGGCAGGCAAAGTATTTCCTGGATATGAGCGGGCGGGGGGTCGCCAACGCGAGGCTGGTGAACGCGCAGGGGGTGCAGTACTTGCCGCGGCGGTGGTGCGTTCTTCGGCCCGGGGTGGCGGTGTCCGCCAACAGCATCTCGTTTGCGTGCGCGAACGCCGACTGCACGGCCCTCTCGTATGGTGGCTCGTGCAACTTCCTCACCGCGCAGGAGAACGCCTCGTACGCGTACAACAACTACTACCAGAAGACCAACCAGCTGCCGACGAGCTGCGATTTCCAGGGGCAGGCCGTGGTCACCACCACTGACCCCAGCATTCAACCGTGTAGATTCATTAGGCAGATTATTCCGCCCGACGACTCGGCCGCCACCATCGCCACCACCGCGAGAATCTCTTTGCTGCCGCTACTACTGCTACTGCTGCTCGCGATCTTGGCTGTCTAGAAAGCGATGTCTAGGAGAGAGGTGTTAACTTATCTGTCTCTTTGTCTCTCTCTCTCTCTCTCTCTCTCTCTCTCTCTCTCTCTCTCTCCTATCTTTCGTGCCTGGCTGGATCGATACAACGAATTAGGTACACGAGAACGCGAGGACGAGAGAACGATAGAGAAAAAAAGAAGCGTTTGGTTTGGTTTTCTATATGTAACAACTTAAAAAAACTTAGCTCGCTTCACGTACGATCACGTTGTCTTCGTTTTGTTCTCCTCAGTCGTTGAGGCGTCGTCGTCGTCATCGTCACTACTGCTGCTGCTGCTATTGGCACCGGATTTGCTCGTCTCTTGCCTGGAGTTATGATGTCTCTGGCGTAAGTCCTCATTATGGTGCTGCTGCTCTGGAATCGAAGTCGCAGGAGCATCTCCATCGATTGCTTCTGCTGCATCAGGAGTAGTAGTAGTAGTAGCGGTCACGTCACTCGCGTCCTCTCCACCGAAACCAAACTCGTTGATTCGCTTGCGGTCCACGGGATATATCCAACGTTGATACAGATAAATCAAGAAAATGATGTCTGCGCAAGCAGCAGCAGATTGTGAGTCCTCTGCCTGACTTTGTGAGTGACACGAGGGGGACGGACCGGGACTCGGGAAGAGGTAAAATGGAAAGAAAAGAAGAAAAGTATGTGGTGAGAGAACGTACCGTCACGGAAGACTGACAACCGATGCAGTATAGGCATCTTGATCACGAAAGCGAACAAATCATCGATAATTGTGTTGAGGAACTTGTAAGTCATTTGGCGCCAGGGGAGGTGCGCCACGGACTTGAGCTTGTAGTTGATGAAGAGCTGGGGGCACATCATGATGAAACCTTTTCACACAACACACACACATGATCTTACAGACAAGGAAAAGCGGTGACAGTGGACTCACCAAAAGTGTAGACACAGCTCGTAAGCGATGACAGGATCCATGAGTACCAGCTCTTGTGACGGTCATAAATAAGGGAATATATCGCGAAGCCCAACACAACCGGATAGAGGACGTAAGATAGGTAGCGCATCGCCAGGTCGTCATATTCCTTCGTCTTGTTCTTGGCATACGAGTCTCGGTCTCTGAATCGCAGGAGCGGGAACCGTCCACTCCGGTCCACCTGGGTTTTGCATATTCACTGGATTACTCACGAGCAAACAGGAGAAAGAATTCATACCTCGATATGCATCGCTTTACCAATCTTCCAGAATTCAATGCAGCAGCCAACGCCTGAGCTGAGAATGATCATCCACGATGTCTCGTTGTCCAACAAGTAGAGGAAAACGACAAGCTGACAGAAAAAGTTGACAACAACTGATCGAGCTGACAAGCCCTCCATCGACTTGTTTTTGTTCCAAAACTGGATATCTACAACGTAGTCATGAGTTAAGAAACAGTGCCGCAAAGACAATAAACTTACCATTCTTGAAAGCGAGGAAATCGAAAACAGTGTGAAGAAGCGAGACAGTCATCGTGATTGCCAACAAAATGGGGTTGCCCTCTAGGAAAACTCTCTGCACGGTTTCAAAGTCAAACACTGGAATTTAGTGTAAAGTAGACCATAGTACCTTGAGTTCGTCGGCTTCACCTTCGAGCATGCTTCCATATGAGCGATGTATCTGAAAGGACTGGTCAATCTGTAAGTAAAGCTGCCACCGAGTGAGACTGATCGGAGAAAGATCCAGATTCAGTGTCAATTCTGTCGTCGTCTCATTGATGCGTATCAGCTTGTCGCGCAGTAGCCAAAACTCGTTGAAGAAAACGGTAGGATAATAGTTTCCTGATGTCTCTTCAAAGTTTAAGTCTGCAAAAATGTCAAGGATAACCAAGGATGCGCAATAACAGGCCAAGGAAGGATACACTCTGCTACGGTAGGTGGAAGAGCATTCCTAGAGTACCTGCAATCGACCCAACCATCAGCCAGACGTATTGAAATGAAAGAATCACTAGCTTTACATACTTTGTAAAGTCGTCCACCAGATTCATAGTCACATTCGGTTTCCAGAAAGAGACCCACTCGGTGATTCCTTCGTCTTCTACGACTTCTGGGAGCACCTAAGATTGAAACATAACGTTTCATGAGCTCGGAACTCAAAGAGAAGCCCAATGCACAAACCTCCGGCGCTTCATCTTTGGCCTCCAACAGACTTTTCCTTTTGTCTGTCTTTGGTTTTGGAAGATAGCTGATCAAAGCTATGAAATAGAAGGTTAGAAGGAAAGAATGGTATCTAGCATCACTAAACTTACAAACTGTTCTGCTAAACGATGAGAAATGGTCGTAGTCTGGGTCACTGGGGTTCGGTGAGAAGCCGGATCGTGTAAAGAATACATGCCCATAAACGGTGCCATTATGCTTCATCACAGCCTAGAAAACAAAAAAAAAAAAAAACTTAGCAGCGGAGATCATGGCTCGGTAAGTACCTCGGAGGGAGAATAAGTAAGGACATGGTGGCGAGAGCTATCGGGCGTCCACGCAGCATATGGTACGTTGGTTTCGTGCCACACGAGCGCTTGTTCGTTGCCAAAATCTGCGAACTTATGATCCTCTGATAGATAGAACCACATATCCTTAAAAAAACAAAGGATCAGTCGACAGACAGTGAAGTTCGATTGGAATTCAGTGAAAATCTTACCAGTTTCTCGCCCTTGGAGAAGAGATTGATCGACGACGTCGCAGGATCAGCTGGTTGCTTCTTGAATCCAAACATCTGAGATGCCAGGTACCAGAACAAGGCCATTCGGATCATCCCCATCAGGATCTGGCCAACGCCTTGCTGCTGCGGCTGCTGCTGCTGTGCATTCCGCTGCGCGGGAGCTGGCGCCGCGACGATGGGCGCTGGATTCGCCATTGGAACCGAAGCGACTAAGAGGAAGGACTAGGGCTTTTGGAAGCCCTTTTTTAGGGTAGTGGGATTTTGGCCTTGAGCAATGGGAGTAGGGCTGGAGGCCGTGCGCCGGCTGAGCGATGTCCTCGCTCGGCAGAAGGCGGGCATGGAGGATCGCCTGGATTTGCTGATCGATCAGAAGCGTGGCCTCCATGGCATTGTCGCTGCTTCGCGATATCTGGCCGCCAGAACCAGCGTCACTGGCAGCGATAAGCAGCGGGATCTACTGCTCTACGTCGCGGGATTCATCGATCAGCTCCCGGCCATGGCAATGCAGGCGATTGGGAGCTCCGAGGCTGATTTCTTCGCGGAGTTGGCGAGATATCTGGTGAGCATTGTGGAGAAGTGGCCGGTTGCTTGCTCCACCCTCAGCAAATCTTTAGCGATCGTGCTGGAAGGCTTCGATCCTTCGCAGGGGGCGACCTCTCCGTGCAGGGCCTTCCTCTGCGCAGTGTCGATGAATTGCTTCCGAGTGGACGAAGCTGCCGTGGATCAGATTGGTGATTGCCTGTTGCGAAAGTGGATCATTTCCAGTGACGAAGATAGTTCCTCTCCTCGGGGGAACGAGTCCATTGACGATTTGGAGAGGTATAAGATCGGGCTAAGGTTATTTATAAACATCATGGGGAAGTCCAAGGACGCTCAGGTTTTAAAGCTCCGGTCAGCATCAGTTAGGCAGCTCAAGACATTGATTCCACTGCTCAAGGTAGCGATCGCGACACTTTCCTCGTGGATGCTTGATACTAGAACTGATGTTTTCCTTTTCTTCGCTCCAGATCCGAAAGCGAGAGTTAAATGGTGGCGAAGTTCCTTTGAAACAGACAATATGCTTGAAGATGGAGGTGGCTCAAGTGGCAGCAATCTTGCAAACCAAGTCGCTGTTAAGTTCTCGGAATTCCTCGGACGGGCTTGTGTGGGAGACCGTCACATTGCTTATGGATGTGGCCGATTCGTGCGTTACGTCTCCCTGGCGGAGGATCCAGGCTTGTGAGGTGCTGTTCGAGAGCCTTTTATCCAGCGTCGCCGAGATTGTTAGTGCTCATGGGAACCGAACAATTTTACATCGTTTGAGGCTTTTGATCTTGTGCACTTGCGCTTACGTAAGTACATTGCTCTTGTTGTTTCTTCTCGCTCACATTTTGTATCACAGGCTGATACATGGGGAACAAATCAAGGAGCTCTGTTCAAGAGCGTTGTCAGGTCAACCTGTTCTATCATTCAAGCGGGATGGAACGAGGACAGGTCTGCAGTCGAGTCTTTTCTTTTGTCGTTGGCTGCACATGTTCGACAACATTCTGAACAGGTTAATCGTTAAGAAGAAAGAATTCTCGTTTCTCTAACTGGTAACATGATCAGGAAGACAAAGAAAAGCCTACAGTAGCTGTTATGCAGCTGAACGTGATTCCTCTTCTTGCTGAAATTGCAGCGATGCTCAATAAATCAGAGGCGGTGGATATGTTGATGCCGATGTTCATAGAGTGTTTAGAAGAGGGAGAGGCTTCAGCGCCATCCTTGTTACGTCTTCGGGTAATGTTTTAATCTGTCTTTGTGAAGATACTAATCGATCATGCAGCTGCTAGACGCAGTGGCTCGTATGGCTGGCTTGGGCTTTGAGAAGTCGTACAGAGAAGCCATAGCCTTACTTACGAAGAGTTATAAGGACAAGCTTTCAACTGTGGGATCTACACATAGCAGGACGTTAGCTCCTGAAGCTACAACTGAACGTGTTGAGGTAATAAAAAACTATCTTGTAGGTGAAGTGTAATTTTTCTGTCTTAATAAGTGCTCCGCAGACACTCCCTCTTGCGTTTTACGTAATTGCAGGCGGTCTGAAGGATCACGTTTTGCGAAATGACTACCGGCAACGCCTGCTCATATTGTGCTCGGAAGTGGGGCTTGTTGCTGAAGCTAAGAGCGGAAGGTAGGTACTTAGTCCTGCGCATATTTGTGGGTGTTAATGGTTTAAAAAATTTCTTTTGCAGAAGCGGTGCTGATTTGCTTGGACCTCTGCTTCCCGCTGTAGCAGAAATATGCTCCGATTTTCAACCTTCTCGAGCAGTTGAGCCTTCTCTTCTGAAGCTGTTCCGCAACTTGTGGTTTTATATCGTGCTATTTGGCTTAGCACCTCCAATTCAAAGAGAACAATCGTCCTTAAAATCGTACGCCATAAGCACAAGTAGTATGGGCAGCATGAGTGCGATGGCGTTACAAGCAGTGGCAGGACCTTATCTTTGGAATGCGCAGTGGTCAGCAGCTGTACAACGCTTAACCGAAGCTACACCACCGCTGGTAGGAAGAGTTTCGTTATGCTGCAAATTTGTGATCTTTTCTTTGTTTGTGCAGCTGGTCAGCTCAGTAAAATGGATGGAAGATGAGCTGGAGCTGAATGCACTTCATAATCCCGGTAGCCGGCGAGGTAGTGGCAACGAAAAAGCCGTTACAGCACAAAGAGCGGCTCTAGCGGCCTCGCTGGGCGGTCGTGTGGAGATCTCTTCATTGAGCACGATTTCAGGTATTTGTTACGCCTTCTGTAATTTTGCTAACGGGTTTCTGAGCAGGCGTCAAGGCTACATATTTGCTCGCTGTCTCCTTTCTTGAAGTCTTGCGATTTAGTTGTAATGGTGGCATATTGAGAACTCAAAATCCGGAGACTCGGAGCTCGTTAATATGCACCTTCATGTACCTTGAGACACCTCAATTAACTCCTGATGTTTATCAGTGTCTTTCTGCAATGGTTCACCGAGCTTTTGATGCAGCTATCACATGGCTGGTAAGTACGCTGGTCGCTATTGTTTTCTGCTGACATTCGAGTGTTCCAGTGTGACAAAGCTACCGCCAGCGAAGACGAGAAAGATTCAGTGCTAATGGCTCATGCGACATTTTTAATTCAACAGCTGACTCATCGCAACGAGAACATTAGAGAAATGGCAGATAGCTTGTTGAGCCAACTAAGAAATCGATTTCCACAAGTGAGTATACTGTCTTATTAGTTCAAGCTAAAACGACTAGTATTTTTCAGGTTCTTTGGAATCCTCGTTGTGTGGATCTGCTACTAAATTTGCTTGGCGGTATATCATCTTCTGCTCTAGCATCTGATCCAGGTGCCATGGTCGCTTGTCGAATGCTTGTGCAACAGAGAGTTCGAGAATGGATAACTTACTCGCTGCTCCTCGCTCCTGCCACGACGCAGGGGCTGTTAGAGGTATGGTAATCCTGATGTTAAACGTTACTGAAAATTTCCTTTATTTTTGCAAGGAACAATTTCGGAAACTGAAGAAAACTGCACATACGAGTGAACTTATCATATTATTTTCTGATCTACATCTCGACGTGACAAAAATGGATATGAGTGGACAAGCTGCAATTATCCCTGCTGTTACGGCTGCGGCAGCAGCGGCCGCAGGCGCAAATTCAACAACTGTGGAGGTCCTTTCCACCGGTGTGATTAGCGCGAACGTGAAGTCAAATTACGTGGGCGAAATTGTGGGCATGAAGAAGCTATATGCTGGGATCAACATCAACCAACTGCAAGATACCAAGGCCTTGACAGCGGTCTGGCTAAGCAGCAAAGTGGATGGGAAATCTTCTCCGGAAGAGGAAGACGCGTCCCTTTCAGCTTTGCTCTTCTCCAGGTTTCTGTTGTGTCTACAGCAGTTCGTTACTGCGGCTGAACGCGGTGAAAGTGTCGATGCTGCAGAATATCACGAAGCTTGCCTCCGTGCCACGGCCCTTCTGCTCTCAGACATGGTAATGCACTTGTTTCATTGTACCAATTGTTACTGACTTTCTTCTTTCCTGCAAGGCCTTATGCAGAATGACGACATCTGAGAGCTTCGTGCAACTTTTGCGTCTGTTATGCTGGTGTCCCGCATACATTTTCACTCCCGCTGCTATGGAAACTGGCATTTTTGTATGGTCCTGGCTCCTTTCTGCAGCGCCACAGTTAAGATGTTCATTACTTTCGGAGTTAGTTGACGCTTGGCTGTGGACTGTAGACACTAGTCATGGTTTATTTGGTGCAGAAAATTGTGGTCCTGCAGCCAAACTACGACCTCACCTCACACCGGGTGAGCCCGTAACAGTGAAGGATTCGATTGAAGGGATATTAGCTCATCGCCTGTGGCTAGGATTTCTTCTGGACCGTTTTGAGGTGAAAAACGCGTTTCAACTTTGGTATTTCTGCTCATGCAATAATTGTTAGTAGGTTGTCAAGCATAATAGCAGAAAGGAGCTGCTTTTAATTGGGAGATTACTTCAGGGGTCTGTGAAGAAACCTCGTTTTACGTCCCATCCTGCGGCAACTGGGACTTTTTTTACACTTATGCTGCTAGGATTCAAATTTTGCGCGTGGCAGCTACAAAACTTGCAGTCTATCGAAACTGCAGGAATATTTCTCCTGGAAGACCGCATCTACAGGTAAGTTCAAATTCTCGTGTACACGAACTAACTTCTTAGTTTTGTAGATCTGCTTTGAGCTGGTTTGCCGCTGAACCAGGCTGGTATGACTGGAAAACCGAGGGTGATGCTCAAAGTGAAGCACAGGCCGTGTCAACATTTGTGTATTATCTAACGTCGTATCAGCATGAGCCATCAGAAAATTTAAAATCTGGGACACAGGAAAATGGTTATATATCAAATTTTAGGAATGTACAGGTATCTTTATCTAGATTGCCATTTTTCATTCATGTGTAATACTGCGTTCTAATAGCTTGACGGGAAACATGGTCAGACGGGGAAGGAGAGAGTAAAGCAGCTGCTGTTGATGTTATCTCAACACGAAGCTGATAGGCTTGAGACGTGGGCGTTCCCTTTAAAGTAAGCTCTACACACTCTGTTAATTCATATTCAAACTTGTATGGCTGCAGGGATTTTGTCCCCAGGCTCCGCGTCCATGCAGATAGGTTACTAGAGTTCGCAAAAACTGCGTGGCTGATAGATCCTCGCATTGCTTTATCGTTGGTCGCGAGGTTTCCAGCTTTCAACAATTTGAGATCGGAAGTGGCTGTCATGGTGCAGGTTCGTTATCGAAAATATAAAATTCTTAAATCTTTGTGACGGTTTCTGTTCAGGAACACCTTACTGAACTACGGGAAATTCCGGAAGCTCTACCATACTTTGTGACTCCCAAGGCTGTAGATGAAAATTCACCTTCTTTGCAACAACTTCCTCACTGGGCTCTGTGCTCGATAACTCGCGCCTTGGAGTTCTTGACTCCTCCTTACAAGGGCCATCACAGAGTAATGGCCTACGTGCTTCGTGTAATGGAGTCCTATCCACCTGAACGAGTTACCTTTTTCATGCCACAACTTGTTCAAGCGCTTCGCTACGATGATGGGGTAAGGAATAGTTTCTGTGAGCATAAAACGTATATATGCGGCATACCTTTTAGGGACTTGTCGAAGGGTATCTTATGGTTGCTGCTAAGCGAAGCAACCTTTTTGCACATATTCTGATATGGGAGCTTCAGGTAGGCTTCCATACTGCTTAGTAATTTATCCTTATTCTTGTAAATGGTAGGGTGAGGAGGTTCCAACTGAAGAATTAAACAAGGATGCCAAAGATTCATTGGGACCCAAGGTTGGAGTATTTATGAAGAATGTAAAGTTCTAATGTGGAATACTCGCAGGGTGTACCACTGTCCGAAATAGTACCACGAGTTAAACAACGAATCATCGACAGTTTTACAGCTGAGACGTACGACATTTTCATCCGGGAATTTAGATTTTTTGACCAAGTGACCTCGATCTCGGGGTTCCTGTATCCCTTACCGAAGGAAGAACGTCGAGGTGCAATCCGACAGTAAGTTTCCATCATGTTTTAGTCGCTGTAGCTCACTATCATTTCAGGCAATTAGAAAAGATTGAAGTGACGGGAGACGATTTGTACTTGCCAACCGCTCCGAACAAGCTTGTCCGAAGCATACAATTGGACAGTGGAATCCCTTTGCAATCAGCTGCCAAAGTTCCGATCATGATCACATTTAATGTCGTGGATAAGGAGGGAGATTCCAAAGATATCATACAACAAGCCTGCATTTTCAAGGTTTTGTGATTTTCTAAAGACCTTTTAGTCCGACTCGGTTGATGCAGGTTGGAGATGATTGCCGTCAAGATGTCCTAGCTCTTCAAGTCATTGCTCTGCTCAGGGATATCTTCCAAGCTGTGGGACTAGACCTCTATGTTTTTCCTTATGGTGTTCTACCGACTGGCTATGGCAGAGGAATAATTGAGGTGACAAACTTATGAGACTTTTAAATCTCACGTTTCTTTTACTTTTTCCAGGTGGTACCAAATACTCGAAGCCGTAATCAAATGGGAGAGATTAGCGACGGTGGACTGTATGAGCTTTTCCAGCAGGACTATGGGCCAGTGGGTTCTGTCCGCTTTGAAGCAGCTCGCGACAAGTTTATTGTAAGTAGCGCTGGATACGCAGTTGCCAGCCTTCTGCTACAACCCAAAGACCGGCATAACGGCAACCTTCTATTCGACAAGTAAGTTAAAACCCGTTTTTTTCGTTTAAGCTGTTTTACATGGGGTCCGTTTTTCAGTGAAGGCAGACTGGTGCACATAGATTTCGGATTCATCCTCGAGACATCGCCAGGGGGAAACCTGCGATTCGAGAGCGCGCAGTTCAAGCTGAGCCACGAGATGACCCAGTTGATCGATCCATCCGGCGTCATGAGAAGCGAGACCTGGAACCGGTTTGTCAGGTTTGTGTTTCTAGTTTCCGTTGAGGTGTCCGCGTCCCCGGCAATTAAAAGACGTGTTCTTATGGTTTTGTCGGTGCTTGGACAGCTTGTGCGTGAAAGGATACTTGGCAGCGAGGCAGCATATGGATGGCATTGTTAACACAGTGCTGCTGATGATCGACAGCGGATTGCCGTGCTTTAGCCGAGGAGATCCCATTGGCAACTTACGCAGGCGCTTTCATCCGGATATGACCGAACGAGAGGCCGCCAACTTTATGATCCGGACGTGCGCAGATGCGTATAACAAATGGTCGACTGCGGGGTATGATCTGATCCAGTACCTCCAGCAAGGAATCGAAAAGTAGCCGAGCCAGAAGCCCGTGAATCGAACGAAGAAAAGAAACAAGATACGTTTTCTTTCTTTTTTTCTGGCTTCTCATCATCAACATCATCATAATCGTGTATAAACAGAGCTCTTCTCGTGAATTGAGTCAGAACTTCAAGAACCTCTGCCGAGCAACCAATCGAGCACTCCGCAGCATCCGGAAGCTCTCTCAGGCAACTGAAGAGAATCGAATGGCACTGTTAGAACAGGGAAAGAGGGAGCGAGACAAAAAAAAGTTACCTTTTGGGGTGTGGACTCGTGACCGGCCTGTAGCTTTTGGTCGCCATCGCTGGTAGTAGCAGCAGCAGTGATGGGCTTGGATGTGTCGATGGTAGCCGCCACGGGCTTGTGATCTTCGACAGCAGCAGTGGACTTTTGATCTTCAAAGCTAGCGGCAGTAGCAGCAGCAGCAGGGTCGTGATCTTCAATGCGAGTATCGCGGTCTTCAGTGGGAATGTTGTGATCTTCAGTGGGAGTAGCAGCGACGGTGTTGTGATCTTTAGCAGCGGCAGGAGGAGGCTCGAGCTCATCGACTTTTTCCGTATGGCGTTCTTGGTCTGCGAGATGATGGTGGTCGTCCTCTGGTTCTTCGTGAGCGTGGAACTTGGTGGGAGTTTGCGGCGGTGGGGTGCCAACATCAAACTCGACGGACTGCCTCACCCATTCCTCCACGTTGCTGTGCTTGCGGTCCTGCTGCTTGCGCCGCTCCTCATCGTCCCCATGTTGGTGAAGATGGTGCTCCAGATCCAGATTTGGGGGCTCGTGATGCTGGTGGTGGTGCTGGGATCTCGGCGTCGGCGTCGTGGCCGCGCTGCTGCTCAGATCGTCATCGTCCAGGAGGGACTCGCTACCCGTCTCTGCGAGAAAGAAGAATCACTCAATCAGCAGCCATCGCTTCACACAACAGTGAGCTCGCGCTGTGCGTGAGCCCTTTCGCTTACCTGATCCATTGCCATTGTGGTGCTGCCGCTCTTCCTCAGCGCGCTGCTCGCGCTGCTTTCGCCGCCGCGCTGCTTGCCGCTTCTTAGGGCCTGACGGCATTATCTCTCCCTCCCGCCCTCTCTCTCGCTATCTCTATCGCTCGCTCACTCTCTTCTCTAGCTAATTATGATAGCGCTCTGTTTTGGACACGCAAAAAGGGGCTCTGCCAAATTGGTGGGGACTCACCACTAATAAACGCGAATTTCTAACCCTAATGATAGCAGAATATTCCTTCCCGCCCAGCAAAATCTAGGGTTCCTCGCGTCCGGGATGGCTCAGATACCAATGCCGAGAAACAATGCTGCGTTAGATCTTGCGAGCTGCTAGAAATCCGTGAATCTGAGATCGTGCTTACCAGAGCGGCGTAATCCTCTTCGGTGAGGGGGGACTCGGTGATCGTTTCCAGGCCAAGCTCGGCGCTTTCTCCCTCGCGATGGTTTCTTTCCTCCTCCTCCCTGCTGCGCCGTGGATTGTCCGCCGCTATCGCATCGCCGCGCTCCTGATTCTCCTCTCCATCGCCGTGCTGCTGATCGGTAGCTCCGAAATTGCCGAAATCCTCTCCACCGCGAGCCCGATTGAGCGGCTCCGCGCCGCCGGAATGATCATCGATCGCGCTGCCATGTTCCTGGATTCCCTCCTGCGCGCTACTGTCGTAGGTGACCTCGTTGTTCCCATCCTCGTCTGCCACCCGGAGAAAGACGCGCGCATTCGTGAGAATCGCGAGCGCCCTGGCGGATTCCACAAAGAACCTGCGCCTCCGGCGATAGCAAGCTCTCCGATCGGACGCATCGGCGATGAATTCCAAGGGGAGCTTTCTTCCCCATTTTTTTATTTCTCTCTTTTAACCATTAGGTTTTTTGGCGCTTTGTTAGGGCTTTAGGCTATGAGCGAGGGAGCGATGGAGGCCACGGCGGTGAACTGGGGCGCGCTAGATGCGCTGGTGCTGGATTACTGCATCGCGGAGGAGCTAGTCGTCGTGGAGGACGATCTAGTGGATGATTCTAGTCGCGGTAACGTCGCTGCTCGTGACGCCATTCGGCAGATTAGGTCTCTCATCGAGTGTGGTGCCATCACCGAGTCTGTGGCGCTCCTCACCAAGCATGCTTCGCTGCTGATGCAGGACCAGCGATTTCTTTTCTGGCTCTATAAGCAGGTGAGTGATTTCTTCGATTGTTCTATTGATTCAGCTCCTGCTTTCTCCATCCAGCACTTCATAGAAATTCTCCGTGGTGGTGGAAACGCTGCTCGTTTGCAGGCGATTGAGTGCTCTAGATCTCAGCTCGGGCCTTGCGCTCTTAACGCTTATCCGGTGGGTTTTTCTTCTTTTTTCTTTCTCTCTCGACTTAGTGCTGCTCGATATGCAGGAAGCGTACGAGGAGTTCAAGCGAGTTCTTCTTGCCTTGATATATGATAGTGATTATCAAAATTCTCCAGTTGCTGAAGAGGTTTGCATCGCAAAGTTTCGCTCACCTCGATTTACTGATTTGCATTCTCGTTGCAGTGGTGCGAAGCGAGACGAGCAAACCTGGCGGCAACGGTGGCATCCACTTTGAAAGCTCACATGCATGCCGATGATCCGCTTTTCTCCTTGACGATTTGCTACTTGATCAGGTTTGTGTCACTGCTTTGGAAGCTACCTAACCTCCTGTTTGTTTGTCAGTGTACACAACGCATACTGCATGAGAAAGAATTTGCCGCTTGGAGATATCGCGTCCGACATACTTCTTAAAGACCGAGATCCTCCTCCGGCGTTTCAAGACCTGTCTGGGGAAGTGCAAACTTTCAATGAGGTACTGTTTTGCATCTGCTACCGTTTTCTGTTCACGAACCAGATGGTCACGTCTCAGGCGTCCAACCTCTGTGCCAGGTTGATGTACAAGCTCTAGCACAGGCGGCGGAGCTTCCCAGGCACGATGCCATCCACAGTCTAAGGTACACGCGCGGAGATGTCATGGCGGCTTTGAAGGTTTATTATCCGTTTTTTTTTCTTACATCACTGCTTTCCTAATCTCGTTCTTACCTCACAGAATGAGCTGAGCAGAATAAGAATAAACACATCCATCCTTGACAAGCTGGTGTGGGAATATTGTGTCTACAGAGGCTTGATTAACACCAGTCCAGAAGTCTCGAGTTCAGCGGATTCCGTGGCATCGCCGTCTGGAAGAACGACAGACGCTATGGATGAAGACTCCTCACCGCGCATTGGTTCTGGGGATACAGTCTGTTCTAGAGCGGAAGAGGCTGATAGTAGTAGGAGCAAGAACTACAGATGGAAGGGTAGACGTTCCAGCAAGCAACAGATGGCTGTGGTAAAAGCCGACGTGGAGATGGTGCCAGCAGAAAATTCAGTCAGTCTTTCCTTATCGCGTGCATTGGATTTGAGACTTAGATCGGCTGTTTTATAGGGGACACCTGATGCAGCCTTTGAGAAATACAGACGATCGGTACAAATACGGCAGCTGATCACGGAGAAGAAGATTCCGGAGGCAATTCAAGAAGTGGAACACTTGGACCCGTGTTTCTTTGAGAACCACCCGCAGCTTCTGTTCCAAATGAAACAGGTAAGGAGATGATATTATCCATTCAATCCATTCATGAATTATCTCGTTTCCAGGTAGCGTTTTGTGCTTTGATAGAGGCTGGAGATCATAGCCGGGCGTTGGAGATCGCGAGGGTGGACTTGGGACCTCTTGCTGCAAAGCACGCGGATTTGCTCAAGCCTTTAAAGGAGACGGTGTTGAGTTTAGCGCGCAACCCGGGGGAGGCGTGCTCAAATCAAACACCAGTCGCTGCTCTTGCCGCATCTGTACAGGTAGAGCGAAAACTCTGTTCCCTGAATCCACTCTGATATCTTGTCGGCGCGTACAGATGACTTTAAGTGCGAGCTTGGGCATCAGGGAGCCTCAACTCATGAAACTAATGAGGACGTGCCTGTTTGCTCACACGGAATGGTTCAAAGTCCAGATGTGCTCGGATCCTTTCGCGGACCTTCTCCAGATCAACTTGCTCAAGGAGGAAGAAGGCGCACCGTCCAAGGTGTCTGCACAGAAAGCGGAATCCGGCAGCGCGGAGGAGCAGCAGCAGCAGCAGGTTCCTCCGCAAGAGAAGCCACCGTTTGAAGAGTCCGCCATCTTGACAATCATGGTAACTTTGGGAGTTTTTCTTTCTTACATCTTGTGGAAACCTCGGGGCTTTTGTTTTTGCAGGAGTGGATGGCATTGCCTCGTGGAGATGCCATCCAGCTTTTGGTGGATTACCATGGGAGCGTGGAGGAGGTTTTTGCACAGCTTATGGGTTAGAAAACAGTGTCTTCTTCTTCAGAGTAAAAGCACAGTTACATTGGATAGATCCTGTGAATCAAAGACCAAAATTTTAAGAGACACAAACTGGTAGTACAGGAGGGGAGCTTGAAGATCACGCGGGAGGCTCAGATGATCCGGTTCCTGATGTCCTCTAGCTTCTTCATCACCTCTCCGGGAGTCCTGTCCAGCTCCTCGGCAATTTTGCGCTGTAAGTCTGGCGGAAGTGTGGGATATTGTTCGCATAGATCTCCATCAATAACATCCTGGATTTTAGACACTTGTCAGTACGAGCAAGAAGAAAAAAAGAGTGACAAAAAGGAAGAAGTCTACTGACCTTGACAGGGAAGTAGGCCGAGCGAAAAGCCATGTGATCGCGGCCGCACAGCGGTGGATGCTCCTGTCGCATATGCATCTCCAAGTGCGAGAAGAAATCCACGTCCTCTCGCGACGAGAATGGCAGCAGCGCCCCCACAGAGCCCATGACCGTGCCATAGATCACGCTCTCGCCTCCGCCTGGGATGAGCGACGCCTTTTGCATGCACGTCACCACTTCCCCGACGTGGAACTGGATGATCTCCTCCACCTTGTTGGGAGCTCCGTTGAGCCGGCCCTGCTCCCACTTTATCTTGCCACCCGTCGGGTCGTCCTCGATCTCCTCCGACAGGTCTTGCGGCAGCCGCACGAAGAAGAGGTTCCCGAACTTGTCTCCCGCGGCCATGGTGTCGAAGTCGATGTGCAGCGACGCTGTCAGCCACCTGGGGCTGCTGTCGTCGGCGAAGGCGTAGAGCTGGTTTTCGTCTCGCCGGTACTTGACGTAGTGGAAGGACTGCAACCAAAACAGAGCGTTAGCCACTGGCAGCACGCGAGCAAATGTGTTTTCTTACCTCTTGGATGTCGCCCACGTAGATCCTGTCGCCGTAACTGTGGATGGAGGTGATGGTGTTCGGGAAGTTTTTGTTCTCGCATTTCCTCAGCAGCTTCCGCTTGCCAAGGTCGTAGATCCGAAGTATCTGCCCGATGCCGGCAAGCAGACGGCCCTGGAACTGGCACAGAGCGGTCGGAACGCCGTCGATGGGTGTCTTGTGCACCAGCTCCAGAGATCTGCCGTCCTCGACAAACCGGTATATGTGGATGAAGCCACCCATCGATCTCCGCTTGGGCCACCACTCCAAGTCCTTGGCAGTACCCACAGCAAGAACTGTTCCGAGGTTCTTGTTGTCGTGAAAGTTGACGCAGCAGATGCTAAAGGCCGCCTCGTTCTCCTGCAGCTCCAGCAGGCACGTTGTGGCCGCTGCCTTGGGATCCAGGACTCTGATGCACGACACCCACCTCCTCGAGTCGGTTTTGGGATAGCCATACTGCTCGTCAGGCATTGGCTCCTCCTCGGACTTCTCCTGGTTGTCGATCTCCATCATCCCGTTGTCTTGAGCTGCAGCGCTCCTGCTCATGTGCTCGCGCTCCTCGGTCGTGAACGTCCCCTGGTCGGTCTCGATGAGCACCAGAAACTTCCGCTTGGGATGCAGGATAAACTTCCTGGGCGTGTATCGAAGTTGGATGGACGTCTGGTTGAAAGTCTCCCCGAGCCTCTCAATCGTGAAGACTCGCAGCGCTTCGCCAGCCACGGCCACAACACCCTCTGCGCATTGGTCCGACGAGAAGGAGGCCGCATACTCCAGGGTCTCGTAAGAAAGTGGAGTCAGGAGGAAGTGTCCCTGGTGAATGTAACCGAGCCACGGCCGACTGGAGAGGCACAAGAGTGCCTGACGGCCCCGAACAGACGTCGCAAAGAGCTTGGGAGCTCTCAGGCCCAGAAACCTCGTTCGAGTCCCAGACAGCTGCCCGGTGACCATGTCAACTTCAGTCCTGAGAAGAACGCCGTTCTGAAGGCCGGCGTTGAGGAAAACAC